AGAGGGAAGATGGTCGACCAGGTATCTAGTGAAGGCTGCCCAGAGAGATGTTCTTTCCTCCATGAGCATCGAGTTGGTGACCAACTGCCAGTGCAGGTGCAGTAGTTGTAACGGCAGCGACTCACATGGGCAAGTCGACGACCACTGCTCCAAAACCGGCTACAATGTATCACGCCTGCCTCTATTTGAAGGCCAACAGCGTGTAGGTTTCCCAATCGGACGCGGTTGACGTGGATTCCAGTCTTGTCTTGGCCGTCGCTCCTGTCGTCGTCGTCTCCGTCGTCCTTGTCTACGTCGTCCTTGTCATCGTCGTCCTTGCCATCGTCGTCATTGTCATCGTCGTCCTTGTCGTCCATGTCCTTCCTCATCCTCGTCACTGCCGCCTCATCCACTTGAATCGGGAAGTGCTCGAAACCACGAATCGAAGGATGGAAGTTGCAAACAACCAAGCCCAATGCAAGCACGTTTTGGCGAGAAATCCCTTCCACTCTTCCACGGCAATCGCCACATCTTCGACGCTGACGTCTGACCTTTGCAATTGCGTCTCGGCAAATAACGATCCAAACATCCCCAGCAGCAAAGGCGCAATGGAAGCGATTCAGGGTCCAGCGGTACTTCAGGTACTGCCGCGCGCCACACAGCACGGTCCACCGCTGCAGATGCCCAATTAACCTCCCACAATCAACGACCTCGCTGCCGAGACAGGCAGGTGGAGACGTCCTCAGCCCTTCCAGTGTGTACCACCAGCCCGGCGGTCGCATCTTGGACAGGCCACTGGACGCCCTGATTCAGGGGCAGCCGCGTGCTTGGGAGGGGTCATGCTTGTGCCGAACACTGATTCGACATCATTTTCTGCCTGGATCACCTCATCGGTCGGATTGCATGGGAGATGCCTTCAACATCTGCCGGTTGTGTTTCCCATGCCAAGCAGAGTCAAATAAGGTAAATATGTAAAACAGGTTGCTAGGCGGTGCATCCCTTCAACGAGCAATAATGGCAATCCTCGAAATAGCATCGACGCGAGATTTACGAGATGACCGGCTTGTGGGGAAATCTCCTGTCCCAGCTCTCATCATGTGACACGGCAACCCAGGGCGCCCCTGTCCCAAACGTTTATCTCAACTGATATTATTCCCCGACTTTCAGCATGGGTTCTATAAATATTGAAGTTCATGCAAACCGCCGATCTTGATAAGAAATCAAGGATATCCAAGTGAGTAGGCGCGTAGACTGCCAAATGCGGCCAATGGGCGGCCAAACTACAGCACTTGGTACGACAAGGTTCGCAGGGGAGGCGATGAACGCAATTAATTGCCATTGAAGGTTGTAATCACGTCAGCTTCGCTTGCGCTTGGTGGTTTTACGCGTGCCTTCAACGCCGGAGGACCTGACTTGGTTTGACCAACAAGGTAGGAAATCGCCGGTCAAGCAAATTGTTGAACCACGCTGCCAAGCAATGGAAGATATCTGCCTCAAATCAATCCAGACGGCGATCCCAACGAGGGGCTTGCGACCGCTCTTTGCCCGGGGTTGGTCCATGATGACAAGCCCTGATACCAAGAAACGATGCGTTCAATTGTTGTGCAGGCCTCGAACCTTGTGACAACACTGCAATGTGCGACTTTGCAGCCATGGAAATTTACGTTATCATGCTTTTGCTCCAAGACGGCACACCAGACACTGGAAATGGAGTCTTGCGTGGGTCTTCACAATGTTCAGCTGTTACACCGGTGACCTCTCTGACCCGAGTTTTTACGGGTCCAGTACCGACCCGATATTTCTCGGCTACCGACTTAGCCAACTCCACCTTCGATCCTTGCATCGATCACATCCGATATGGTGTAGTGGCCAACATGATGCCCTCTCATCTTGTGAGAGGTTAGGCATAGCCCCGAGTTCGATTCTCGGTTTCGGAAGTTGATCTTTTGCTTTTTTGTCCGTTTTGTCTCGTCACTAAACAACGAACGATGGAAATCACCCACCAGTATTTTTGTGATCACTTTCAACGGTAACATGCGCAACGATTCCCAAGTATGAACAGTGTAGATAAAATATGTACCAAGAAGACTAAACCACCTCCAACTTCCGTCACAACTTCACGTTCGGAACCTCAAAAGTCTGCACCATCTTGGACTCAAAGTAACTCCAAAACTTGGTCCCGCTCATCACCGTATCATCCGCCTTCACATATCGATCACCGCTGCCCACCTGCGTCCTCCACCGCGTCACCTTCGCCCCATCCGTCGAGCCCTGCGTGAACTTGCTCAAGTCAAAGTTGAGATACTGCGCACTGCCCCAGTTGATCGCCACAATCACCAGCTTCGAGTTCGCCGCATCGTACGCCGCAACCACATTATCACTCCCTCCGTCCAGAATCTTCATCCCCTCGCGGATGTGCCGCGTAAACTGCGCAAACACAAAGTACTTCTGGTTCGCAGCCCCCAGCGTGCCCGCCTCGTTGTCCGCATCGATCACTCCCCACCCGCCGCCGTCGAGCACCTGCCAGTACACCCACCCCGTCGGCCGCAGCCACCGGAAGTCCAGCAGCATGTTGCTCACCAACCGCTCGCCCGTCGCGTCGTTCTCGCCGTACTCGCTGTTCCACAACCGCTGGCCCTTGCTCACCGCCTGCGCGTACAGCTTGTCGCGCGCCCCGTTGCCGTATTGGTACCCGTGCACATTAATCCGGGCCACCTTATCCAGTGCCGAGCCGAGCCCATTCCAGGTACTCACGGCCTGGTCGTAGTACGACTCGTCCGACGCGGCGATGGTCATAGTGTTGAGCCCGCGGTTGTCGAGCTCCGTGCGGAGGTAGTTGATGATGCTCGCCTGCGTGGCGACGTCGATGTGGCAGCCCTCCTGCGTGCCGTCCGCCTTCCACCAGTTCGCCGTCGGCTCGTTGAACGGCTCGACGCTCTCGAACGTGATGCCCCAGTTATCCTTGGCGTATTTTGCGACAACGGCCATGTAGACGGCGTGCTGCTGCAGGTTCCAGCTCTGTATGTTCTCGCTGCCGTCCGACGACCCGGAGGGGTTGTGGTTCTTGGTCATCCACCACATGGGCGAGTTGCTGAACAGCTCGAAGCGGTTCGCCCCGCGGCTCTTGGCCTTCTGCATCATCCCGCGCTGGTTCGCGTCCACGCCCCAGCTCCAGCTCGTCGACGCCGGGTCCGCGCTGTTCCAGTCGAGCCAGTGGCCCTCGATCTGCCGCGACAGCATCATCTTGGAGGACACCACCATGCTCTCGCCGTTGATGCTGTTCCAGCTGCACGCGCCCGCGTTGTGGCGCACGATGTTGAAGCCCAGCCCGGGCAGGCTGGCGCCGGACCAGGTGGTCGACTTGGTCGTGAAGAAGATGTCGGCGAGGTCGTCGCGGTTGCCGAACTTGCGCGCCCACCAGGCGAGCGAGGTGCCCCAGCCCTCCCAGGTGCCGCGGTCGGACTTGGCGTCGATGGTGGTCGTCGTGTCGGCGGCGACGTGGCCCGCGAGGAGGGCCACGGCCAGGTTGAGTGAGAAGTGCATGATGATGCTTGTGTGAGGAGAAGATCGAGCCCGAGGAGACTGATGATCCTATCCTCCTGATAGGGGAAATATTGGTATAAGAGTGGACTGGACAACGACCTTTATGTCCGTCATCTGATACGGTCCTGATGACAAGACGGAGCCCGCAGGGGCGCTGACTCGGGAGGCGGGACCACGATGTCTTGGAGTGGCACTGCGAACGGGGATGAGCGGACCGGTGGGAGAGTTGCGACCCTTTTTTGGGTCAAAATGCCACGCCGTCATGTTGGAGATTAACATACCATGAGAGGGTGGCAGAGGGGGTAGAATACGCGCCGTCTGGTCGTCGAAACGGCGGTTGGTGCCGCTTCGAGCTCGGTCGTTTGGGTCCGACGCGGACGTGGCGTCCATTCCCGCCGGTTGGGGTGTTGCTGGCTGGTGGTGTTGATCACTTCAAGCGCACTGGCCCCGCAATCTGCAGATGCAGTCGTACTTCGGTTCGTTCCATCTTTAGAGTTAAATTGCCGGCGATGACACGAGGTCACTTGGCGCCGCCCGTGCTTGGATTAATCAGGCAGTTGTGAACTTGGGACCTGTGCTGGTGGACCCGGGCCGAGAGGTGCGCGACTCAGCCCTCAGGAGTCGAGACGAGTAATGCGGATCTTATCTCGGGATGTGGTGCCACGTGCTATTTCGGAGACCAATATGGTATTGCAAGACGGCTATTCGGCTTGTATGTACTACAACACAGAAGGGGATACAAGAAGAAGAAAAATTGGGCAGACGGATGCCGCGGCACTACTCCCAACATGCAATCATTTCCGTCCACCAAGTGCCATATCCATTCATCAAAAGCTTCTTATCGACCCATCCTCCCGTTGTCATCCAGAAATCTTCCGCGGAAGCGATCCAATCTATGTGCCTGGAATTTCCAAGCTCGGCCGCATGGTATGCGCCGTCGTTCGAAGCCGTCCGGACAGAGTGTGGGGTAGGCGACATCGGGGTGGTGGCATGCATGGCAGGGTGCCATCGGAGCAGGCCGGCCTCGCGCGTGCATTGGCGGAAGATCATTGAGAGAAAACATGGTGTCGACCGGTTCGGCTCCGGGATCCGCGGACGTGTCATGAGACCTCATTTGATTGCGCGCTAGGGAGGCAAGCTACGTTGAAGCCTGCTTGGATTGTTCAGTGTTGTATCTGTGGCAGTTGTTAGGGGAGGTAGAATGCGGGGAATCGCCAAACTTACAAGAATACTGCAAGTAAAGCAAGTGTAATTGTTTTGTGTTTTTGTGCTGATTGTCGTCGTCATGCTCAAAGGGCTTGACTGTCGTCGGCGGAAGCTTGTTTGAACAGTTAGGTCAGTGTTTGTCTGGGAAAGCAAGGGAAAATACTTACCCTTTGACGCATCGATCAAGCCATAATCTTACAAAGCCGTAGCAGCCAAAGGATGGAGCATAAAGAGGCACCTCCAGCGACCTTGTGACCAACTTTGGGCCATCTTCATCCACGTCTCTTCTTTATAATCTCCTCAGCCTTCTGCTCAAAAGACCTGTAAGGGACATAAGGTGTCGTTCCAAGGGGATCGGTGGATTTCGGGGCTGCGCGGGGATTGTATCCTCGGGGCGGAGATCCCAGGGGAATGGCACCTGGAGAGACAGCTCGAGGCTGCGGACGCTCTTGCGTAATCGACCTCAACTCCGCGGCGCTAAGAGATTGCCGAATTCTGTTCATCGACGGAGACGGCTTGTGCAGGGGTCTTCCGCCCGGCAGCCGTCCTCTGCCGCCCGAAGAGTGGATCGTGCCAGGGCTGGCGGTGGCGCTGCCGCTGAGACTACCGTCCCGTGCCTCCCGCAGCAGGGCCTCGGCCTCCTCAACCTTGGCCTTCTCCAGCTCCTGGTAGACTCTGTGGAACTGCTCCCGAACCTTCTCCATGCGGGCGAAGAGAATCTGCTGTTGGTTGTAGAACTCCTGCCTCTCCTTGTATGCCTTGTCGAGCGCCCTGACCAGATCGGCAATCTCCTCTTCAGAGTACAGCTTCTTGGGTGGGTTGGGCGTGTCGAAGCCAAAGATCTCAGGGTACGGGCCGTAGTCAATCTCGAGGAGTTCCTGGGGCGGCGACGGAGGAACGTCCGAATCGGCGTCTGCCAAGAGAGCCTGCTCACGAGTGTTGTCGGCTCCGGCGGGCAGGGGAACCTTGCGGTTGCGAACGGCCTTCTGCAGACGGGTACGACAAGCATCGACAGCGGCGTCAAGAAAGTCGGGAGTGGCATTGTTCTCGTCGATGGTCTCCTCGAACAGCTTCATGCCGCTCGCCTCCTCTTCATGCAGTGACTTGAGCTGTTTTCTCAGAGTCTTGACCTTGTGGCCAGCCTCAGCGCTTGTCGGGAGGACAGGACGAGGAGGAGGGCGAATGGCTGGCTGAACACAGCGACGCTTGGAAGCAGACTTGGTCGGGGTGTCAGGAGGGCCATCGGGGCTTCCTGATCGCTCTCTGTTCGGAGTAGAGCTGACTCGGGGCTGGGACAGGTTGTAGTCCAAGGGAACGGTGGAGTCGTCAACGTCAGAGGGAGTCTGGCCGTCGAAGAAGGGGTCGGTGTTGGTTGCACCCGAGTCGACGGTGTCGGGCGTGACGGCTCTCTTCCTGGCCTCGGCGGCTTCGTTGCGCTTTCGCTTGCGCTTGGTCTTCTTCTGGGCAGGAACGGGGGTCTGCGGATCGCTCTCGGCGTAATCACTATTGTCACTATCGTCGCTACCGTCAGACATCTCGACATCTTCCTGAGTCTCACCCTCGCTGGCCTTAGAGACGGTGGTGGAGACGGCGGTCTCGGATGCCTCCTCGGAGGGCTTCTTGCCGTCGCGAGCAGACGAGGTCGCCCTTGGCTGCGCGCCGGGGATGGGAGCGAAGCGCATGCTGCCGCGGGGGCTGGGCTGTCCTCCAGCCATTGGTGTGCCAAGTCCGAGTTGTATGTCGGAATATTTGCTGCTGTTGTCGAAAGATAGAGGTGGTGGTGTTTTTGCTGTTGTAGGAGGAGCGGAAAAGGTGGTTGTGGGCGCAAGGTTCGCAAGGTCGTAAACCCGTCCAGCCTTTTTGATCTTGACCATCGCAAGAGGCAGGAGCCAGCCAGCGCAGGACTGAAGGCCAACGACCTTTTTTTTCTTGGGTCCTTCCTTCAATATTCACCGGTACGTAAAAGTTGCAGCGCTCCAAAGCTGATACGAATGCAAGCTGACAAGCAAAACAGGAGAAGAGAACAGGCGCAGCTCAGCAAAAACGAAACAAATGCTGCTCTCAGGGTGAAGCTATCACCAGTTGTTTCAATGTTTCAGGAGAACTCAGCTGTCGTCGTCTACCACTGCCGTCCATCAACCAAGAACGAGAGCGAGGAGCCATGGCAGAATTCATGCGCCTCTGTGCCCTCAGCCTTGTCCCTTTCACATGACTTGGTTGTTCATCACCATGGCGATGGGCAGAGAGGCCTTTTAACGTGGGGCTGATGCCATCGAGAGCCCTCAGCAAGGAGCACTCCCCTTCACTGGTGTCCCCGACTGGAGGAAATTCCTTTCCCAAGACCACAAGGACAGCAAAGATCCTTTCAAACCAAAGCATCTTGACCTTCTTTGCTGGGTTACCGAGTCTACATCCATTGCCTTCTTGCTCCATCTAGCAGAACATTGCCACAGAGCAGACAGCAACCCAAGGTATGTTTACCCTCCTAGTTGAAACAAGCAGAGTCTGACCTCGATTCGCAGATGGACAATCGCCAGAACGACCTCAAGGACCAGATCCGCGCCTTCGCCAATGCCCTCTCCAAGTCAAGCAACCTGCCGCTGAGCGCGATCCACGAGGCCCTCGAGTCTTACATCGGCCAGGCTCGCGTCAACGAGGCCACCTCCATCGCCGCCCAAGAGATGCGCCAGGTCATCCCCGGAAGCGAGTACGCCGTCATTTTCCACGGCTACCACGTCCACACCGGAAGCACCCCTAACCATGCCTTCGGCTACCCCATCAACTACCGCACCACCGTTGCGCTCAAGAACCCCGTCTTCTTCGACGTCCTCAAGTTCAACAAGTTCAACGGCGTCTTGATCCCCCAACAGGGCCAGCCTATCCCTCCCTACCACGCTGCGGACTACGTCCCGGGATTTCAGTCTTACGGATGTCCCGGCCTGGCGATCCCCAATCACTGGATGAATATCTTGGCCAGCCCCACCACCGATGCCATTCATATGAACGCGGAGATCGCTTTTCCCGGACCCAGTGATGCCGAGAACTGGGACCAGCAGAACTCCGACCCGACCTTCAACCACTTCCTTGCCGAGAGCTTTCCCCAGCAAACCCACATTGCTCCTCCTGGCCAGTTCGTCCCAGACTACTGGAACCAGTCCAGCTACTTTGGCCACCCTGAGCATATCATCGGAGAGACCCACGAGCCTGTCCCTCAAGTCCAACTTCCCCTGGGAATCGCCCCCGTCATCGAGAACAACGTCGCTGCTGATGTTGAGCACGCCGGACAGCAACCTGTTCGCTCCCGCAGTGTCGAAGAGGCTACCATGCAGTGCCCCGAGTGCTTCAAGCCATACAAGCGACTCAATTACTTGCAGAAGGTCAGTTTCCCAAGTCCTATGGTCCGATTGTCCCCGCTGACAACCAAAGCACCTTAAAAAGCATGGTCGCCGGTACAGCCGCAAGGTAGACTACTCCATCCGTCGCTGAATTAGACAACGTTTAGGCTACTCGGTAGCAGAGACCATGCGGCACTCGCCACATTGCTGGAATTTCTAAAGCGTGGCTTACTTTCGCCGAGCGTCCAGTTTGCGTCTTTGAGAACGCTCATTCTTGGAAGTGCCAAATTATGAGGAGGCTAGTTTGATTCAGAGAGAACGCTGTCTTCAACTAAGTGCTTCTACCATGCACCTTTACAGCTGTTGTTGAGTTACCAATCGCTGTCTTGTGTCGTTAGTTCCACATGCAATCGCTCTCATCCCGCACTTTTGCGGCAGTCCCTGGACCTAAAGCACAAACGTCATGTCCCACAACCTTTGGATCTTCTTATCCTTCGAGTGTGCAAACGTCTTGTAGTCCAGATTTCGTAAGGCCCCGAAAAGGACCCCGTACATATGTCCGCCGGCCCATAATGAGTTCGGAATCCCAGCCGGTATTGTCCCTGCTGCCTCTGGTAGGTCTAGCTCCGAATGGGGATCTTCGATGATTGTCTCGAAACAATCTGCCAATGTAGACTTGCTGCTGAAATGAACGCTTGGCTTGAAACATATCTTGCGCCTGATCGCTCGGCAAATTACAAGCTCTGGGTAGATCTTGTCGCGGAGACCAGGGTTCATGAACCCAGATATCTTTCGCACAACAAGATATCGACGGAAGCGTGCTGAGATATTGTATCCCATTCCTTGAAATTCATTGTTAACCATTGCGTCGGCTTCGTAATGTAGATCGCGCAGTTTCCGCCACCATTTGACACTTGTCAGAGCGTATGCAATTACCGGCAAGACGACCGGGTCTCTGCCTCTAGCGTCCCACGAATCTCTGACGATGCGGTGCCAGCTATCTGGGGATTCGATTCGCCAGATATTGTTGGGAATATCAATCCCCTAGGTGCCGCCAATGGAGGGTAGAAAGCAGGTCTTTGCGGTCGGGTCTTGCTGTGATGCTTCTTCTGCTTCTTCGTCAACGACTGGCTCGGAGAAGAATCAAGAAGACTTCAGCTTTGGATCAGGCGGGTACTTGCCTTGGTAATCTTTCCACTCGTCCCTGTGTCGTAGAGATCAGCCTATATCCGCAAGGAGCTGAAGTTGCGATGAAGGAACAACATACCAATTGATCTCATTAAAGGTCGTGGGCTCGGGGAACCTTGGAGGTAGGCCGAGGGGGTTTTCGAAGAATTGAAAGCTGCACCTTCCATGGTTACTCAAGCCGAGGAGGCTTTTGAGAGATTGAAAGCTGGAACTTCCCTGGTTACTCATTGTTGACGGGATAAAAAGGTGTGCAATGTCGCGGTCAAGTATATCTTTTCCAGTAAAGCTTGTTGGTCCTTCGTGCAGCGTTGCAAGAATGGCGGATCTCGTTGCAGTAAGATAGCTGATGGGGAATTGTGTAGAGGATGTTGGTGGCAAATGTGAAGCCAGGTCGAGGCGCGTCGGAGAGGGGAGATAAGGGCCCATGATCTGCACCACCGCCTGGCTATAGCGGGAGAAGGAGCGGATGGGCAGCGAATGCTGTCACGGAAAGCATTAAGAATCGCTGAGGGCGACCCTGCCTTGAGACTCCCGTCTGACAGGATGGAGTTGGGGATGCTCCTTCCTCTCCAGATTGCTCAAATCCATTGCTGCCTACCTTGTAAGTTGTAAATCCCGAATCTCTGTCTCAAGTTCTCAACCCAAACCCCGCCTTCTCTTCCAGGCCTCAGCCAATCCGCTGGATAAAAGGCGGCAGCTTCTTGATTCTCTTCCCACCTGCAACTCACAACTTCCAGCCCACAGAACCCCTCAAAGCTGCCCACGTATGTCTCAGTTGTTTGCCGAGCTTGGAAACCCACCAGCTGACCTTCCAGTAGGATGTCAGCCTTGCACCTTGCCATCAAGGATGCACTCTTGCGTATTGAGCAGGAGAGCTCCGAGGACTGGTTCACGATCGACTCCCTGACGCGAGCTGTACTTGCCGAGATCCGCCAGGACTGTGTGCCTCGCTCCACGAACCCCCAGGAGGAGCCAGCCGATGAAGGCAGCAGCAGCAGCAGCCAGAGTGACAGCAGTGACGATGACCAAGATGAAAGCGAGGGCGACAAACAAGCCCACGACAATGGCATCAGCCATGCGAACAACGACAGCAACCACCATGAAGGCAACAAAGGCAGGCGCAATAGTTCCAGAGTGTATGCCTGCAAGTTCCGTCACTGCCCTCGTGTCTACCAGCACAAGTCAAGCCGCACCCGCGTGAGTTCAGTCCTTTGCCACCTTCTTCGAGTACCATGCTGACAAAACACAGCACTACGCTATCAACCATGGCGAGGTGGCTGCACCCCCAGACACTGATGAAGAGTAAATCATGTTGTGGTGGAAGCAAAACGTTCAAATGAGATAGAAAGGCTTCGATACAAGTTCTAAATCACATTACATCAGGATCTTTTATAAGTGTCCAGGACTGTGTTTTTGCCTCGATTCTTCGGCTGCTGGATTGGCTGTATCGTGCAGTTCTGCTTCCTGCCGGCCCCTCTTGCTCCTGCCTTCCTCCATCTTGAGCATGAGTATCCTTGCTTCTGCCTTTTCCGTACTATTCCCCTCCGATTCTTCGTTCGTCATTGTATTGTCGCTGCGGTCACCGTTGCTTCTGTGATTGTCGCTGCTGTGTCGCCTCTACTGCTGCCGTTCGTCGCGCGCTGTCGTCGTCTCTGACTCTGTTATATCGTAAGAATAATTCGAGATGTAAATGGAATTTTCAAATCCAGAAAGAATACCCCGGGACCTTCAAGTTCCTTCCGTTCTTGTTCTACTTTCTCACCTCAGGTGAGCTTGTAGCCTCAGGTGAGATCCTGGTGAGATACGTACCCCTCTCATCAGTCTATTTAATGAGGGCCTCTCATCCTCAACCCTCCTCTCTTTTCTTCTCCTCCAGACAACAACAACTTCTCAGTCTGTGAAAGGTATCTTACCTCACTACAACCTTCAGTACAATCTCCACAAAGGAAGACCAAAGGAAGATGGCTCAACAGACTAAGAAACACATTCAAGACGCGCTCCTGCGCATCCATGCAGAGCATCCAGATGATTGGAACGCGTTTGAGCAGACCAGTCGTCAAGTCCTCGCTGAGATGGGCACTCAACGCGCCCACGAAGAGAACCAGGCTGTCCTCAACACTACTCAAGGAGAGGCAGACACTCACTCCTTGGAGACCAACTCCGCTCAGAACAACCCTCGCGCGGCCATGGCTACTGCCTCAAGCAGGGCCTCAGCTCACACAAATGTGAGTGAGACTCACATCAGGCCTTACCGCTGTACTGTCCCTGGCTGCGGCAAGCGCTATCAGCACGTTCGGTCTCGATACCGTGTAAGTGAAAGGACCCCCAAGACCACAAAGTCAAGCCGCTAACACTCATCCAGCACTACCAGGAGGACCATAATGGTGTGGCTATCCCTCCCAGCACTGAGCGTGTTGTTTTGGACACACCCAAGGATGGAGATCAGACTGCCTGAAGGAAGGGAGGGACAATGAACGGGGATGAAAGGCAGAGAGATTGATTGGGAGGAAGGATGCACTTCATTCGCGCAGGTTCTTCATAAGGAAATCCAATCACATGATTTTCAGTCTCTCGATTCCCTCAATCACCATAGTGCCTTTGTCCAGCGTGAGACAACAGCGCACACTGACAACCTCAATCTCACCAGCAGGTTCCGCCTGTTTCTTCGAAACTCTTCCTTCCCGGAACTCTCCAAAATAAATTCAAACCATTTTTCTGTTTCTGCAAAATACCAAACCAAACCTTTTCTCACTCACAGTCAACCCTTCGCAAAACAACACATCCACCACCAAACAGACACCACCAACAACCGAAACATCCAACTCACTCAAGTATGTTCAAATCTTTGATACATTTTGCCGAAACCAACTACTGACTTCTCTTCAACAGGATGCCTACCAAGCTCGAGACCGCCGTCGCCAACGCCCTCACCCAGGCTCAGTCCGAGAGCGGCAAGTCCAAGAACGACGTCATGAAGATGGCCCACTCCTTCGCCGGCAAATACCTCAAGAAGAACGGCATATCTCCGCCACCGACGCCCTTCACCGCTGCGAGTTCGACGGCTGCGAGCGCGCGTACGAGAACCGCAGCTCCCTCAACCGCGTCAGTTCCTCCGTGCCCCAGCCAACTCTTCACTTCCCTTGTTCATGTTCTAACTTTTGTTGCAGCACTACAAGAAGGACCACGACGGCAAGAACCCCGAGGACGAGGAGTAGATGCGCTGCGGCATGACGAGCCTCGGGATGGAGTTCTGGTACGTTGGCAAATTGGACTGGCCTGTCCCGCAACTGCCTTCTGCGAGCTGTTGCCTTGGACGAACTAGACAGGCGCTGGGCTACATGGTGGACTGTGCTCTCAGGTACTGCCAAGGCTTTGCACTTTCTACTTTAGGTAGTTATGAGTTTCCTGTCGCTTTCATCGTTTCTGCTGGACCCATGGCTGACAAGTCCTACCTACAGTTGCAACCCTCTTGCCGGCCTGGCTGGTATCTTGCCCCATTACCCTTCGCCTTTCAGGTAGCTCCTTAATAGAGAAGTCTTCTTCAGTCCCTTGCCGTGTCAAGCTCCAGCCCTTGACTACTTGCCCATCTATAGAAATGTTTAATTGCCGGAGAGATACCATGCGTGGCTAGCGAAAGCCTTTCTTCGATACTCTTTTGAAATTGATGATGGTCCTATCATCCTCATCAACCGAGCCAGCCCAGCCTTCCTCTACTTCACGATCCTTTTCCACTCCATTTCCTTAAGTTTCAGTATACTTTCACATCACGTTGTTTTAACTTTGTTTCCCAGCATGTTACCTGAAAACATCTATCGTTCAACGGACCTGTCCGTCTGCCTCTACCATGCCTAATTCGTCGAAGGCATATGATCCAAGCGTCGATGAGGATTGTTGTACTCTCCTAGTACACC